GCACCCACCACAACCGAGCCTGGCGCACGCCCCCGGCCTCCGGGTCGCTGTCCTGGCATGATGCAACCAGCCAAATATGCAACTGCTGGTTGGAGGGTCCTGCTGCGGGCTGGCGCGCAAAGCAACTCCGCCACGCCAAAGGTGCTGGCTTGTCACCTAAGAGGAGCTGAGAATCCAGGCAAAACAAAACGGGTCGAGATTTAATTTGGGATTTTTTTGTTTTCCGTCCTGGCTGCGAAAATGCTGTAATTTACAGCATTTTCTCGCGAAATGTACATATTTTACGCGTCCGCCAACATCATCAGCATCGTTTTCAACATCCCCCGCATGTCCAGCCAACATCGCCAGCATCACCAGCAAATTGGCTTCCCGCATCTCATGCGAAAAGTGAGGATTCAATTGAAGGCGCAGGGGGGTTGGGGGGGGCGGCAGCCCCCCCATGATGATCGAAAAATTAGGGGCAAAGAATCTAAAAAGTAACGATCGAAAAAGTGATGATTCAAATAGGGGCAAAAAGTAAAAAAATAGCGGGGGGTTTGGGGGGGCGGCAGCCCCCCCCATGATGATTGAAAAAGGTTGGGGCGGGCGGCAGCCCCCCCTATGATGATCGAAAAAGTGATGATTCAATCAGGGGCAAAAAGTCTGAAAAATAGCGGGGAGGTTGGGGGGGCGGCAGCCCCCCCATGATGATCGAACAATTAAGGGCAAAGAATCTAAAAAGTAGCAGTCGCACGATGATTGAAAAAGTGATGATTCAATTAGGGCCAAAAAAATATTATTATTTTTTTTTAAAAAAGCGGGGGGGGCATCAGTGCCTCTGCGCCAAGGCCTCATGGTACAAGTGAGGGTTCAAATACGGGCAAGCAGATCGAAAAAGTGATGATTCAATCAGGGGCAAAAAGTCTAAAAAATGGCGGGCGGGTTGGGGGGGGCGGCAGCCCCCCCCATGATGATCGAACAATTAGGGGCAAAGAATCGAAAAGGTAGCGGTCGCATAACGATCGAAAAAGTGATGATTCAAATAGGGGCAAAAAGTGAAAAATAGCGGGGGGGTTGGGGGGGGGGCGGTAGCCCCCCCCACGATGATAGAAAAAGTGATGATTCAATTAGGGCAAAAAAGATATAAAAAAGCAGCGGGGGGGTCATCAGTTCCTCTGCGGCAAGGCCTCATGGTACAAGTGAGGATTCAATCACGGGCAAAATAATCCCTGTAAAACTCTTAAAACGTAGCGGGGGTGGGGGGGCGGCAATTCCCCCCATGATGATTGAAGATGATCGAAAAAGTGATGATTCAATCAGGAGTAAAAAGTCGGGGGGGATGAAGATTGAAAAAAGTGATGATTCAATGGGCCAACAAAATGTACAAAAAAAAAGCAGCGGGGGGGGCATCAGTGCCTCCGCGCCAAGGCCTCATGGTACAAGTGAGGGTTCAAAATACGGGCAAACTAATCCCTGCAGATCGAAAAAGTGATGATTCAATCAGGGGCAAAAAGTCTTAAAAATGGCGGGGGGGTTGGGGGGGGGTGATGATCGAACAATTAGGGGCAAAGAATCTACAAAGTAGCGGTCGCATGATGATCGAAAAAGTGATGATTCAAATAGGGGCAAAAAGTGAAAAATAGCGGGGGGGTTGGGGGGGGAGGGGCGGCAGCCCCCCCCCACGATCATTGAAAAAGTGATGATTCAATGAGGGCTAAAAAATATATAAAAAAGCAGCGGGGGGGTCATCAGTTCCTCTGCGGCAAGGCCTCGTGGTACAAGTGAGGATTGAATCACGGGCAAACTAATCCCTGTAAAACGGCAGCCAAAGAATCTAAAAAGCAGCTGTCGCATGATGATCGAAAAAGTGATGATTCAATTAGGCGTGTATTTTAATCGAAAGGGAGGTGGCGGGGGGCACCAGAGAGGAACTTGCGATGCTGAGGATGCAGGAAGCCAAGACCAAAAACCAACTGGGAAAGCAGAGGATGCGAAAAGCCAAAGCCAGAAAGCCGCCAAAAGCCACAAAGCCAAAAAGCCAGCGGAACTGGCAATGCAGAGGATGCGAAAGAGAGGAACTGTGAATGCAGAGGATGCGAAATGAAAAGGCACAAAAGCCATAAAAACCCACGTAAAGGCCACAAAAGCCAAAAAGCCGAAAAGCCACCCGCCCTGAAAAAGAAAAATAATTCCGAAAAAAAAACGGGAAAAAAAACCTTAAAAAAATGGCCCTCCAAACAAAACACAGCAACGCCGAGTTGACCTAAGAGGAGCTGAGAATCCAGGCAAAACAAAACACAGCAACGCCGAGATCTGGACCTGTGCTGCCCCGCGAGAATCCTGGCAGGCCCATCGCAACACACAACACAGGAGCCCTGACTCACACGAAGAGCAGCAGTGCGCACGAACGGACGGCCTCGTCCAAGCCCTTTCCGGCCACTTTGGCCTGGACCACCACCATGACGTGCGTCACAGAGAATGCCACGACATTTTGGCAAAAGAAGCAAACAGCCCTGCCTCTTCCACAAACTCGCGCAGTTTTTGTTGCAACTCGTCTTTCAGCCCTGAAAGGGTCCACTTTTCTGGATATATCTTCTGCGCTTTTCCTGAGCTCAACACTTTCACCGCTCTTGCAACCCCGACCCACGTGCTGCTCCAGCGGCGCAAGACAGCTTCGGTCTCTTGCACCGTGCCGTTGTCCTGCAGCACCCTGTCGGCTTCTGCGACCACCTGGGCGAGACAAGGCTGGGACTGACGCTTTCTCTGAAAGCCCGCCTCCTCGAGATCGAGCCGGTCCTGGCAGCCAAGAAGCCCAGCGTTCTGATGCACATGTCCCCCACGCCTGGGCACTGTTGTCCTGGCAACGGCAACCGCCCAAACTTGCAAGCTTTGGGTTCGAAGGTCCTCTTGCGCAGCCCTGGCACGCAAGGCGACTCCAGCATGCAAAGGGCGTGGTCTCACTTGAACAAACGAAAGTGCGATCCGCTTGGGACTGTGGGCAACTCTCAGGAATGGGCCAGTGCCCTGTTGCGGTTCTGGCACGGCAACACAAACCGGAACATCCAAAGTGGGGGACTTTACGGTCCTTCAGCCGAGCTCCTCCGGCAAAGTCGTGGGCGGCAAATGGGGACTCCTGAAAACGAAAACCCTTTTTGCAAACGCCGCTCCGGACTTTCCCAAGGCCCCGGCCGTTCTTGGCCACAGTCGGGAGAGCGCCAGCACAATCTCCTGGAACTCGTCGTTGCCATGGCCGTTGCAAGACTTTGTGATTCCTCACATCAACTCGATGAATTGGTAATCCGTTGCCAGCTAGCATGCCTTGCTGATTTGATAAGCACTCGCGGGCAACGGACGGATCTTTCGCTTCTCAGGGCCCACATGATCAAGCTAACCCTGCAATCAGACCTGAGCAGATTTGACTCCAGCGGTTTGCTGCAGGCTGAGGCACGGGCTGCGTTCCAACAATCTGTCCAAAGGGTTATACGAAGCACCCCATCACAAACGCAAGGACACAATTCCATCCACAAAACCATGCTTAAGTTCGGGGTCTGGCCCCAGCTTGAAGAGTCACTGTGGCGCAAGGTCGTTGGGGCTCGGGCCGCAACAATCGAGCTTCGAGCCGGAGGCCGAGCCTCATCCACTTCCCTCTGCCCTGAGCTTTCCAGCTTCCCCAAGTTCCCTAGGTTCCCTAAGCTCCCTAACTTCCCTAGCTTCTTTGAAATCTATCTTGTGCTTCCAAGTATGTTTTGTTTTTGAGCATTTATCACAATACTATCCCATCCCTCTTTTTCTTTCCCTTTTTGTACCATCTCTCTCTCTCTCTCTGTCTTTCTTGTCATGTTTTATTGTTTTGTATTTTCTTCTTATCGTTTTTTCCTTTATATTGTTTGAGACTAAAAAGAAAACGTGATTTATGAAAGAAGTCCTCAATATTAAAACCAAATGGAGAAGGGTTCAGCTGAATCAACTGCAGGCACAAACAATTGTGGTGGAGGTCTCTCTCCAAAGATCCCAAGTTTTCTTGGTTCCCTGGCTGCTCTGAGTGCCCTAAGTTCCCTGCGTTCCCTAAATTTTCTGGGTTCCCCAGCCTCACCTCACCGCCCCCTTTCGCAGAATGCTCGGAACGTGAATGGCACCCCCAAAGTCGAGGATGCATGCACCTGGTTCCTAGGAAAGTTGGGCTTGGGGAACTTGGGGAATGCACCCGGTAAGCTAGGGTAGTTAGGGAACTTGGGAATTTGGGGAACCTAGGGAACCAGGGGACTTAGGGGATTTGGGGGGACCTGGCAGGCTTAAGGTGCACAGCGGGCAGTCGAACAGTGGCACACTTTGAGGCCAGAGGACGGGCTGGAGAAATCCAGGATTCAATTCGAGTCCACCTCCACGGTCGCAACACACTGTTGAGAGCACGGCCAACACGATGACGCAAGCGTGGACACGAAAGCCTGCCCTTGTCAAAAAAATCAAGTCATTGGAAGACCACAACCCTGCCTCAAAATCAAGCCCAAGACGCCTGTGACAGCAGCTTCGGGGAGGACCAAGGTCCAAGGTGTACACTTGCACTGGACACATGGAACCAAATGTACTTAAGAAACTGTGGGGAATTCGTGGAATGCTTATTTTTGGTGGCAAAAAGGATCGAAGCAGGAGCTTGGCGGAGTTGGCTCTCCTTCTGGTTTCCATTTGAAACCATCAAACATGATTTGCGTTTTTGGGAACACATGCTGTGTTTAGACTTCAGTGAAACTTGCGGTCGAACTCATGCAGAGACGCGTCTAGGCTGTCATCTCGCTATTGGAGCGCTTCAAGACGGGAACCTTTTCTCGCAGGCCCTCGCCGAGTTTCTCGGCAGCCGGAGGATGCCCAATTTGCTTGTGAATTGAAACATCCCGACCTCGTTAAAGTAGACACCATCGCTGTATGTGCTTTCCTGAATGGTGTCTTGGTCAGGCGTCGCATAAACCACTGGGAAGACCTCTACCCCTCTGTCCTGCAGAGGTTTCACAACAGAATGCATCTTAGTCTTGATTTCGCTCCACTTGACCTTTTCCTGTACAAACTTGCACTGGACACAGGCAACGAGAATTTGCCCTCCGCATGACTCAGCCAACATGGAGTGAGATACTCCACACCTTCTTCGGACTGCTTCTGCGAGACTACTATGGCACCCTTCTTCAGCCAGTCAAATCACCAATTTTCAAGCAGTTTTTACTCTTCAATTTATCATCCTTATTCATTCTGCCTATTTCCACTCAAAACATTTCATAACAGTCTCAACCTCAAATCCCTTCGCAAAAAAAATCATATGTTCTCATTTCTATTCCATCATTGTATGGTTATTGGATGGCATAAAAGACGGGGAAGGTCATGTTTATTCATTTTGTAAATATATACTGATACTATGATTATATCATATGGTTTCAGGGCATTAGAGGCTTGATTTTATGTAATTCACATGGTTTGGTTTTCTGTTGATTGTTCAGGTGTTTGTTCATGTTGTTCGACTGATCTTAAGTAGGTTTGATGTTTCTGTGACTTTTCATGATGAAATTTTGAATGAATACAAAGTGTCATACCACAAGCACATTTGCATTGTTATTTAGATTGGTTATGTATTGTTTCTTTATGTTCTTCACAGTATTTTTGAGCTTTGTGTTGAACTGTGCCTGTATTGTGTTGATAATATGTTTGCTTATGTTTCCCTTGCTGTCATTTGTCCATTGTTCGCGCGTTCTACCTGCAATATGATTATTTATACAGCCAGCGTTTTGTATGCAATGTCCTTCTTTTGCTCGTAATTCAATTGAACTGTTGCATGGATATAGTTCAATGAGTTCAATTTTACAGTTTTCCATGCTGTGTTTATCAAACAAACTGTATACAGTTACAAAATCTTTTTACCTTGTAAATATTGTTTGAAAAATGTTTATGCGACCACCATCTATTTGAAAGTGTGCCAATAGTTGAGCCAATATAACATGTTTCATATGACATAGCAACAAGATTGAATATTTTACAATTTTGGTATATTTTGGTTTTAACCATCCTCAGTATTCATAAACAGTCTTATAGCATTTTTACATTATTTACAACTACAATTGCACCAAGTGCAATATGGTATAATACTATTTAATTCGTGGCTGGTTTCGTTTGATTTGCATTGCGCGGTTAAATTACTAGTTATATTGCTATTCTTAATACCCAATGTAAAACCACATCCACAGTAATTTCATTGATTAGTGATAGTATTAAAAAACCAGGCAGCATTGACATAGCCTTCTTTAGGTATATTTCTTTTTGCTTCTCTGTCCTGTTCTTTGTAATGTATTTTTTCCTTTCAATACATTTTTCGTTAAATGCATCATCGGTATCTTTTGTATATTTAAACAACTTGACTTTGCTTAAGTCTCTACACCTTGTGATACTCGTCCACATCCACTCCCTATATTCTGTATTTAGTGGGTGTGTATAATCAAAAAATTGTTGTTGTGTCATCGATGCTACTACCTTGTGCGGAATGACACGTAGAGCAGTAAGCAAATATAAAACTGCTTCGTATTCTAGCAACGTCTAAACATTGTAAAATTTCAGCTCTTACACTCTTCAGTGTAAGAATTCCATCATTACCAGTATGAACAATTTTATAATTGAAATGTACATTAAACACTGATGTTTTAGTTTTAGTGCGTTCCCTACATAATAAAAGCTGTCCTACTTCGTATTCATCTTTTCTATTTTCTAGCTTTCTAATTTCACTTGATACATTCTTACACGTATTATTTAGACAGAAAGCAGTGTCCCCAGCGCTGGGTTTTTGCACATTCCTGCTGTATGATGGTTTCAGGGCTGGGACACTGCACAGACCGCAAGCAGCCAACACATTGATGCATTGTGACCCCTGTCACTTGAGCAGAGAACCTTCTTATTGTCCACTAGCTACAAAACTCAAAAAACCTCGGGAACCGAGAATTGAAGAGGGCAATCCATTTCAACCTGGATGGATCATGAGGCATTGTGTGCAATCACCCATGCGCGAAACTTCCTTGGCACCATATCAGGCATATTCCTGATGACAATGCTTCCATCCTTTGGAAAATCCAGATTCGAGATAGCGTTCGTGTATCCGAAGTTTGATGGATCGTTTCAAGAACGGGAAGCAAGGAACGCTATTGTCCCTAGAGACTGATGGATTGAAAACCTCACATCCAAAGCAGCATTCTGTGCACTCAGGCCTGATGGCAAGTCATTCTACCACGACGACAGCATGGAGCTGTATGTGAGATGCATCAGTGGTCACTCACAATACGTTGAGCTGGAAACCATTGGGAGACCCTTGTGGAAGAACACCTGGGAAGAGCCATCATACGATTTGCCGAATGCATCCAAGCCTCGTGATCAGGACCATGAAGATGAGAGCACGGCAGCGCCGAAATCCATCGAGCAGGACAGGAAGATCGTTCCGTTCAGGAAGAAGGCCGTCACCTTCATGTTCCATGCCACCTATGGAACTCAGATCGAGAAAATCATGCAGCAAGGAATCAAGCCAGGACGAACTAGCACCCCTCGGGGAAGACAACACGTCCACATGGCATGCATCGACGGCTACGATGATCAGGAATCAGACGCAGCGCTGGCCCATGTCCCTAAGGGACGCGATGCATTGTTGATCCTTGCATTCACACAAGACAACCAGTACAACATCCGAATCACGGAAGAAAGAATTGCCCTGTCAGAATACAGCATTCGATACCGATGGACAGCCTCTTATGCACAGCCACTGGATCATGAAGAAGAATCTCGACCACGATGACCGAGAACAGTGTGAACCCAAGATCCAGGAGTTTGCTGAGCACTTCTTCAAGCACATTGACAAGGGCATCTCCCACGACAAGCACAACTAAATATCAACCCGAACAAGAGCAATCCAGCGAGACCAAGAAAAGACGGCATTCGACAGACCATGATGAGGAAAGCATGAGCAAAAGAGAAGATCGATCCGTCAAAGTCAAGGTCAAGGTCACCGTGGAACCTCCCAATCCGGCCAATGTGGCTGAATTCAATCAGGAATTTCAGGACATTTATTTGGACCGGGAAATGTCCAAGGCTGATGCTGCAAAAGAGCTCGGCGAGATTCAGCAGTCATTCATGGAGTTCATGGAGAGGTACCATGGATCCAAAGAAGACACACCCGGACCTGACCGATTGCGAATTGAGATCTTTGGCACACGTGAATCCAGATGAGAACCTCGATGAAGATGAGTTCTACTTCGAGCACGCAGGTGAACATCCGACCATGGAAGAGTTCAGAGCAGCGCAGAACCCTTCGGGGTATCCACTGCGGACTCAAGAAGTTGAGGAACTACCACGATCCCGAGCTCATCAAGTCATTCACGACCATTCTGGGATCCCTGATGCAAGGAACTGATGGCCAAGTTGTCGACTACCTCAAGAGAAAAGACTATCCATCCAGCATTTCACGCAACATCCTGACAGTGAATCACGGGAACCTCACAAGGAGTCCAAGGATAGTCGAGAACTCAAGTCATGGCCAATCAAGCACCGACCGCTCATCATGCAGACGATGCAGAACAGTGCACATCTCCTCTGCATCAACGAGGCAGACGCGTTCCTCTACCCAGAAGAAGACAAGACCTCTGATCTCATCAAGCTGTTCATAAATGCGGACACAAGGGCATCGTCATCAAACTTTGGGCATCCAAGTCCATCGCATGCTTTGTCCGAGGTGGGAAACACGCCCGAGTCGAACTGTTGGCACGTTACATTTCAAAGAAGAGCCAATTCTGGAGTACAACATTCGGAAGGTTCAGATGCTTCTTCGGGCTCGAAGACGGTTGCAATGATCCGGACTATGATGCTCCAACACCCGACTGTTTGGCATCCACCGGAACCTCCATGTTCCTCAACCAAACCAGGAGAAGTATATTGGACAGAGTGCCACCACGCACCACCGTACAATGGCATGGCAAGAACAGCGAGATTGTCGTCATCCACATTGAGCAGAACAATGAGATCTGTGGAACATTCCCAAAATCCACTCAGAACCCTGTTCTCTCCTACAACTCCCGCCATGTCACAAGAGCTGACCTGCCATTTGCCACTATTGGAGTTTTCCATATTCATCCGGACGTCAGCCATGGTGCAGCAAAAGACGACGTACAGAAAGGCATCACGCCGCTCGTCACGGAGTACCACTGCGATGCGATCACAGGCGACGCCAACAAGTCTGCAAACACGTTCAGTAAGCTACAATCCGTTTACAATCCTGAGCACGGCCTCATGAACTACACTTGAGGAGCGGGTGAACGAAAGCTAGCAGTTGTTGCATGAGATGGGTCGGTGACAGAGTGGATTCATAGGTAGCTTGTGTACAACGAGAGGCCCGGCAAGATTCGTAGGATGCGACATGCAAACGCACATGGTGGCGTGGCAAACCTTGAAAAATGAAAACAACGAGAGGCGTCAGAAGCTGTCTTAAAGCACCTCTGGGTTCTGCATGCTGCGTGTGCAAAGATTCTTGCGAGGTGGTTTACCGAGAAGACTGAGGTCTCAAATGAACAAGCTGAATCGGTGGAACATGTAAAAGTTCGTAGCACCAAGTCCAAAACGGGCAAACCGAGACTGCTGAACACTGAGCCACTGCCCGGGGGGGGGGGGATGGACCAGGGAGGAATCGAGCCTGAGACCCGGGGGGGGGGGAGGGGGGGGGGGTCTAAATAATTGATGTTTTTCAATCTTTTCGGCTCAAATAATTGAAAAAATCAATCTTTCGGCATTTGAGCCCCTTACCTTGCTTACGCAAGGAGAAACTTCAGCTAGCTAAAGCTAGCTGGTTTCAGGGCATTAGAGGCTTGATTTTATGTAATTCACATGGTTTGGTTTTCTGTTGATTGTTCAGGTGTTTGTTCATGTTGTTCGACTGATCTTAAGTAGGTTTGATGTTTCTGTGACTTTTCATGATGAAATTTTGAATGAATACAAAGTGTCATACCACAAGCACATTTGCATTGTTATTTAGATTGGTTATGTATTGTTTCTTTATGTTCTTCACAGTATTTTTGAGCTTTGTGTTGAACTGTGCCTGTATTGTGTTGATAATATGTTTGCTTATGTTTCCCTTGCTGTCATTTGTCCATTGTTCGCGCGTTCTACCT